CTGAGTTCCAAGCTCAGTTGTCCCCTCTCCAAGGTGGCTACCAGACAATTGCTCTCTCCTGGGGGATGTCCTGATTAACTCACCAGCCACTGCAGTCTCCTGTCCAGTACTTTGTTCCACTGGTGCATTTCTCTGAGGAGTCCTCTGGGGTCACCAGTAATCACCATTGGTCTGCAGGTTCTAGCTGCCCCTTCCACACAGCAAGTCAGGGCTTGGGGAGAAAGTACCCCTTGCCACCTCCTTGTTCTTTGTTGAAGACTCTCTCTTCACTCTCTGTGTGGGCTTCAATTGTTTATTTAGATCTTTGCTGGGTCCTGGGGACCCACTTCCCTGCTTCTTCTCTACCTCATGTTGCTATATTCCAGCATTTGGACACTAAATCTCGGAGAGGCTGTTTCTCTGCTATTCACCACTCCTCCATCTCCCCTAAAGTCTTCTAATTCAGGACCTCTTGAAGCTCATTTCAATGTGTTACATTTTCCATAATGAAGCAAAAGAGATAAAAGCAGAACTAAAGGGAGAACACCTTAAATCTAGGAAGATATCATATAAATCCTTCAGATTATTTAACCTCTCCCATCAAATGGGGCTGTCATTAAACCTAATAACCAATGGATTGGAGCCACAGGAGTTGAATCTGCATCCTTCATGGTGATTTTTTGTGTCCCTGTGATAAGCCTGGATAGTCCTTATTGCAGGTTACAGGGAAAGGGGACGTTACTAGAATCTCTGCAGTAAATCCTAGTCTCCTGCGAGCCACGGTAGCACAAGGCGAATTATAGGAAAAGTAGAAAAATGAGACAGAAGAAGCTGATCTTTGGGTCTGATCAGTGCTGCTCTGGGCAGCAAAGACGAAAGCCCCCAGCTTACTGCACCTTTTATTGAGTACATTGGGAGAAACAAATGTAACAAATGACTCGGGACAGAGAGCTCAGTACATCGCCGTCGTAAACAAGATGTAACAATCAACTTGTGGAGAGTTCAGTACATCGGCTTAAACAAGATGTAACAATCCAAGAACAATGAGGAACTGAGTAGATGAAGATTTTGTTCCTCCCAGGATGTCTTCAGCTGCTGTGCTCTGATCCTGGAGCATCACCGCATCACTGGGTCATTGAGGTCTCAGTTGTGACCGGAGGCCAAAATGGATTATGTCTCGGAATGCCATAGCTGAGCTGTAGGCAGGAGAACTACGCTAACCAAATGATTTTTCCCTAAAATTATGTAGCATTGCTCCTGACACTTTATCATCTGAGAAATAAATGTTGCACAACTGGTCCATAAGGATGCTCTGAGGTGGCTGCTACACCTCCTGTGAAGGTCAGGAAATTGAAATCCAGAGAGTGAGTTCCCCAAGGGCACACAACTGCTCAGTTTCAGAGGGATATTTTGAATATGAGTCTATCTAATTCCAAAATCTGAACTCTTTCTACAATAGAACACAGCTTTGCTGTTTACCAATATAGATTAATGGGAAAATGATTTTTTGTTAAATATCTGTAAGAAAGGATAGTCAAAATCAGTTTTAGTCACTTTTCTATTGTCTAATATACTTAATAATCAATAAATCTCTTTGCCTAAATAAAAACATTTTAATTCTTTAATTTTCTGTTGAGAATTTTGAGACAGAAAAGTCAAAGGACATTTTGAAGGCCCATAATAAGAGAGCTCTGATTCTTTTCATTTATTCACTACATACTCCATATAGCACACAAAGTTCCAGTTATTCTGGATTCTGGCAAGAAAATTAATCCATCAATTTGTTCAAAAATTCTGGGATCAAATATACACAAACAAAAATAAAAGTCCCCCTTTTTTTGGTACCAGGGATCGAACTCTTGACCTTGTGCTTGCAAGGTAGGTGGCAGAACCACTGAGCTAAGTCCCCAGGCCCCATTTTCTTCTAATATCCCCTCAGTGGAGTTCCTGGTAATTTTCTACATTTGTTTCCAAATTTAGCTATACAGAACAATCACTTATACAGGGTTTGGTGGTATATGCCTGCAATCCCAGTACTCTGGGAATTTGAGCCAGGAGGATTGCAAGTGTGAGCCTAGCTTTTTCTTCAAGAAAAGATTTTGGAAAGGAAGAAAAATGTAATTTTTCAGTGGAGAAACTAGCAAATACTACCATGATCAAATAATCAAGGTGAAATCACTAGGAGTAATTTATGCTGATATCAGAAGAAGGGCATCTCATTTCATATTCTCCTCAAACCCTAGAGCAGTGGTTTAATTATGAGAAAAACATCAGACAATTTCAAGTCATGGGACATTTTACCAAATACATAACCAGATGGACTCAGACTATCATGGTCACATCAAGGTCATGAAAAATAAGACTAAAAACCTGTCACAGATCAGAGACTAATGAGATATGATGACTAAAGGCAACATGGCATCTTGTATTGGGTCCTGGAAGCCAAAACAGGAGGTAGCAAAAAGTGAATAAAGTTTGGAGTATAATTAATGGTAATGCACCAATGCTGGTTGCTTGGTTTTATAGATATCATAATGTAAAATGTTAATATTAGGAGAAACTGGGGGAGGGGTATAAAAGAATTTTCTGTGCTCTCCTGCAACAATTCTGTAAATCTAAAATTATTCAAAATTAAATTTATTAAAAACAAAAAGCAAAGCATCTTGCTATAATTTTTTTTTTTTTTGGTTTCTTGAGACAGAGTCTGGCTGTGTAGTTTAGGCTGTCCTTGAACTATGTACTCCAAGCTGTCCTTGAACTTGCAGCGGTCCTGCTACCTCAGCCTCCCAAGTGCTGGGGTTGTTACAGGCATGTATGACCATGCCTGGCTCTTGCTATAATTTTAAAAGTGTGGTGACTGGATGATTTCTCCTTGGATTAGCTTCAGGCTCAGCACCTTTCAAACCCTCTTTGCTCTCCACTAGCCACACACTTCTAGTGTCACGTGCCATAAGACATGTTAATAGGCCCTTTGTGTCACGGCATTAAGAGAGCATACTGCTTGGCTAGGAGAATTCCTAGAGGTCATTCATTCCACCATTTGGAGAGCCAACAATAACCTATCACAAAGCAGCCCAAGTTCAATTCAATTCTTTTTTCTTACCTAGATCTCAAAAAAATGTCCAGGGCCACTCCAGGGCCTCTAGGACAAAGTGAAGTGTGGAAAAGATGTCTTAATCAATCTCCTTTTCAGGAGTGCTTTTAGAGACTTTACTGTTAAAAGGTAGAACATGACATCGGACCACGTGAACTCAGGACTTGAGTCCTCCCTCGGGCCTTGGAAAGGGCTGGTGCAAGTTTAGAGTCCAGGGCCCAGGAATTTAGCTCAGTGGTTCCACTGCCTGCCTTGCAAGCTCAAGGTCCAGAGTTCAATCCCCAGTACCAAAACAAATAAATAAATAAATAAATAAATAAAATAAATGAGTTTAGGGTTAGCAGTCAACCCATCCTAACCCCTCAAAAGAACAAACAAGGGACCTTTGCGAGAAATCCCACTGTCTATTGTCTCCAGCCCTTCAACTCAGAAACTCTTGGTCTTTGAGCAAGCTCAGACCAGGTAGTCACCCCTGCCTGAAGTGCTCCCTGAGCCACTGTGCAGGCTTGGGCATATCGCCTAGGCCTAGTTTCATTACAACATTTGATCACATAGGTTAAGTTTGGGTTTCCATCTTCCTCCTACCTTGTAGGTTCACTCAGGATGTGATCCAAAACTTTTAAAAAAATCTTTGTGTTGTCATAGTAAGGCGTCAAAGAGCCCTTGTTGAGTAAATGAATTAAGGCTCTTGCTGAAGGAGGGAAACCTTGGCCAGGAAGACCCTGGCCAGCCAGAGCAAGAACATCAAGCCCCAGGTGACTTTCTGCTCAGCAACCTCCCGGATCAACTGCAGTGGGAGGTAAGAGACTGCCAATCAGCAATAACTTCCTGAAAGGACAACAAGAATATTGAGGCAAGCACAGAGGAACATGTTTGTAATTCCAGCTTCTCTGGAGGTGGGAGGATCAAGAGTTGTCAGCCTGGGCAACATAGCTAAGGTAGTCTCCAAAAACAAGCAGAAAAAGAAATAGTGATGGATCTTGCCTCCCACATATTAATATTTCATCACTTCTATACACATTACCATGCCGAATATGGCTAACTATAAATTAAATGCTTATATTTTAACAAGATTATTTGAAATCTAGACTATCCTAGAGTATTCAGGTATTTAAAAAAGTATTTGCCCCAATGAATCAGACTAAATGAATGCTGGAAACAGAGACAGGAAAGTAAAGTTTAGCTTAAAAATAGAAACCTTTATTTAGAAGAACATCCAAAGAAGTCAGCAAAACAGTTATGGCTTACCACCCCATCTCCTGAGTATCCTATGTGGTTTAAATTCTCTGCAGTGTAAAGAATGATTTAAACTTCTGAAGAAGAATGTAAACATGATCGAAACCGAATTCGTTCTTAACACTGTCAATTCTTGAGATTTTAAATATTGCTCTCAGAATGACATTTCCATCTTCTTCAAAATTCCATATACTGGAAAGAGAAAGGAGGGAATAAGAAGAAAATACCTTGCTTGTTTGTCTTGGAGTTGAAAACAACTCTTACAGAAAACAAAGTCTTCATCCACTCTGAGCAACCTCGCACTCCTGCAGCTAAACAGAAGCAGACCCCGGTTGTGAGGTCCGTATAAGGAGATCTGCCTGGAGAACACAGGTCTTCACAGCTTGAGGCGAAAACGGCTCAACATATCTTTTCTCAGTGTTAGACACACTCGCTTCTACACTCAGAATTGGGTCTTCTCACACCTAGGGCGTAGTTTACCTACAAAGTGAGTCCCTGGGCGGGGTGACGATGACAAACTCAATCCACACAAAAGCCCACGCCTCGTCAGGGGACCCACGCATGCGCATAAAGATGGTGAAAGGTGGCCTCGGGCGCTCCGAACTGTCTCCACGCCTTCCGCCGGCGGCTTCCCTGAGCCCGCCTCCGCCGGAGCAGACAGCTGAATGGTCAGTCTGGTCTCGGCCCGGGGCGGGGATTGGCTGATTGGCAGTATCGTCCCAGGGCAGCCAATCTGGAAACCCGAGTAGCCGAAGAAGGTGCTGGCTGCCGCGCGGCGGTGGTAAGTGGGCCTGTTGGCTGGAAAAAGTGGGTGGAAGAAAGTGGCCCAGAGTTTGATGGTGGCGAAACGTCATGGTAACAGGGCAGAAGTAGAAGGAGCCTGGTTGGGAATGAGGGAAGGGCGGCGGGCCTCGTGGGCCAGCGAGGCGTCTGCGCTGCGGTCGAAGGGAATCCGGTGGCCGAGGGCCCTAATGGGCCTGGCGCTTCAGCGGAGCGGTGGGAAGTCGAGTGCCTTGCCTCAGGGCTGAGACTCTCTCACCCATTCACCCTCTCGGCCACTTGCCCCTGTACCCCACTGGTGTCCCCTTCCCCGCCCTCAGACTGTGTTGGGAGCCTCAGTTCCCGCGCCGGCTGCTGGGCGGCGGATCCCTGGGGTGTTGCGTCCTTTCCCGGCTCGGCGGGTGCGCGTCCCGCCTCTCCCAGGCGGGCTTTGCTTGACCCTTGTTGCAGTGTCACTCACTGTTCATTCTCCGAGAATTTCCTGTGTATCTTTCTGACCATGCCCAAGTGGCGTCAGACCCCAGAGAAAAGGCCAGCCTTTTGGGCGTTTAAGATTTTCTATTTTTGTAATGGAAACCTTCATATTAAAGAGAATTTGAGTGAATGATGTAGAGAACTCAGTGTATACAGCACGCCCCGTTTCAGTGATTAGCAATTAATGACCCGTCTTGCTTCCCTTCTCTGAGTTATTTTGAAGTAAACTCCAGAGGTATTTCATCTCTTTTATATATTTCTACGCCTCTGTCATGATCAATGAGCATACATACTTTTTTTCTATCTATCTATCCATCAATCTATCATCTATCTATCTATCTATCTATCTGTTTAACTCTTTTGGTGCCGGGGATTGAACTCCGGTCCTTGCACTTGCGAGGCAGGCGGTGGCCCCACCATTTACATTTTTTAAAGAGAGGTTAAGTGATAAGGCACACAAAGTGTAAATACTGCTAATTTAGTTTATATTACAAGGATGTATTATGAGTTTTACTACCCTGTACTCAAATTTTCAAAAATCAACAAAAAGGTACTGGTGTGGTTTGATGGCACACACCTGTAATTCCAGCACTAGAGAATTACTGGAAGCAGGAGGATCTCCACGAGTTCGAGGCTAGTTTGGACTACATAGTGAGTGCAAGACCAGTCTGAACTACATATATAGCGAGACCCTGGCTCAAAAAACAACAACAAAAATTGTGTTATGGTTTTGAGCATTAATAATTGTATTGGTAATTTCTGTTTATGGAATTCTCAGTATATATGAAGCGCTGTAAAATTGTTTCCTTTTCATTTAATTATTATCACAGCTCTGTGAAGTAGGAGTTACCCTCATTTCACCATTGAGGGAAAAATAATTTAGCAAGGTTACACAATTTTGCCTGAAGTTATAGTGCTGAAAGAAGTGAAGGCTGGAATTCAGGATACTAATTCTAACTATTTTCATTGAAGAATATTTGCCCTTTTTTAAAATACAAAATATTTATTGGTACATTTTAGATATACATAAATGATAACATTCATTACAGGGAATTTGCCTCTCTACATGGTATCTCTCGCCTCTTTTTTTCTCATTCCCTCCCCAGCTTCCCTATGTACAAAAGCTTTGTTTCCATTTTTTTCTTTCTATTTTCACTTTTTTCTTTGTCCCTTCCTTCCTTTCTCTCTTCCCCATCCATTGTTCCCCTTCCCATTTGAACATTTTCTTCCCAATTCCCAATATTTATTGTACATTTTAGTCCTTATTTCCACTTTTAGTTTTTCATACCAGAGAAACAATGCAGTATTTAGACGTGTGTCCAATTTCTTTCCCTTAAGAGTGTGGTCTCAAGTCGCATCCATTTAGTTAGAAATGTCTCAAGCTCACCCTTCTTTATGGCAGAATAGTATTCCATTGTGTAAAAAAACCACATCTTCTTTATCCATATGTCCACTGATGGGCATTTGGGCTGTTTCCAAGATTCAGCTATTACACACTGCCACTCTAAACATGGACATTCATATATCATTTTGGTAGGATGCTTTCAATTCTTTTGGGAAGATACCAAGAAGGAGAATAGTTGGGTGGAATGGAACCTGTAGTTTTAGTTTTTTGAGGAATCTCCACACTGATTTCCACAGTGGTTGCACCAGTCTACACCCCCACCTACAGTGGAGAAGGGTCTCTTTTTCAAAACAGTCCCTCCAGCATTTATTATTGGTTGATTTCTTGATAACAGCCATTCTTTCTGGAGTGAGATGGAGTCTTAGTGTTGTTTTAGTTTGCATCTCTCAAATGACCAGTGATGTTGAACATTTTTTCATATATTTATTTCCCATTTCTACTTCTTCATCTGAGAAGTGTCTGTTCATTTCAGATGCCTATTTTTGGATTGGGTCTTTAAATTTGGGGGCAGTCTGATTTTTTTGAATTCTTTGTGTATTGTAGATATTAGACAAACAGCTGACAAAAATGTTTTCCCACACTGGGTTGTCGCTTCACTCTGTTGGTAGTTTCTCTTGCTGTGCAAAAGCTTTTTGATAAGATGAGATCCTGGTTGTTGATTCTTTGTGATAGTTCCTGTGTGATTGGGGTTTTGTTCATAAAGTCTCTGCCTACACCAGTGTCTTCAGGAGTTCTACCTCTTCTATCTTCCAGCAGATTTAGTGTTTCTGTTTTAATATTTAGATCTTTGATCCATTTTGATTTTAGTTTAGTGCATGGTGAAAGATATGGGTCTAGTTTCAGTCTTTGGCATATGGAAAGCCAGTTTTTCCCACACCATTTATTAAAGAGTCTACTTTCTTCCAGTGAATGTATTTGTCTCCTTTGTCAAAGATTATGTGGCTGAGTACGTCTGGAGTTGTTTCTGCATCTTTTAGTCTGTCTATTTCATTGCTCCACAGGTCTGTTCTTTTGCCAATACCATGCTGTTTTTATCACAGTAGCTTTGTAGTATAATCTCAGGTCAGGGATTGTGATGCCCCCTGCCTTTCTTTTGCTGCCCAGAATTGCCTTTGCTATTCTAGGTCTCTTCTGGTTCCAAATGAATTTTAGGGTTGTTTTCTCTAATTCGGTGAGATAATGCTGTTGTAATTTTGATTGAGATTACATTAAATTTGTATAACAATTTTGGATGTGTGGCCATTTTCACTATATTGGTTCTTCCTATCCAAGAACAAGGGATATCTTTCCATTTTCTGATAGCCTCTTCAGCCTCCTTTTTCAGAGTACTATAGTTTTCAGTGTAAAGATCTTTTCCTTCATTAAATTGATTCCTAAGTATTTCATTTTTTTGGATGCAATTGTGAAAGTTGTTTTTCTAATTTTTCTCAAGTGAGTTTGCTGTCTGTATAGGAAGGCTATTAATTTTTGTGTGTTGACTTTGTATCCAGCTGCACTACTGAATTTGGTTATTAACTCTGGAAGTCTTTTGGTGGTGCTTTTGGGGTCTTCTATGTAGAATATAATGTCATCTGCAAATAATAATTTAACTTCCTTTCCTGTCCTTATTCCTCTTTTTTCTCTTGTATAATTTTTCTGGCTAATGTTTCCAGAGCTGTATTGAACAAGAGTGGTGACAGTGCCAAAAGTCTTGTAGACTTAATAACCAAATTCAGTAAAGTACCTGGATACAAGGTCAACACACAAAAATCAATAGCTTTCCTCTACATGAACAACAGACTCACCAAGAGAGAAATAGGGCAAACAATTCCTTTCACAATAGCATCCAAAAAACTGAAATACCTAGGAATCAATCTAACGAAAGAAATTAAAGACCTCTTCTCTCAAAACTATAGCACTTTGAAAAAAGATATTGAAGGGGATATCAGAAAATAGACATGCCTTGCTCCTGGGTAGGAAGGATCAACATAATGAAAATGGCTCTACTTCCAAAATTGTTATATAGATTCAGTGCAATCCCAATTGAAATCCCAGCAGTATACTTCATAGACCTTGAGAAAACAATCCAAAAATTCATTTGGAACAAGAAGAGACCCAGAATAGCAAAAGTAATTCTAG